CATGATTGAGTGGAAAGTATCTGAATCTGGTGTTTGTCAGGGCTGATTTTGAATTGGCCTCTGTGACTTTTTGGCCACCTAACCTGGGAAAATACACTCAAAACTCTCCACTCACTTTTGCTTTCTCTTTGTAAACCAGGATAACACTGGTTCTTGCTGCCTACTGTCATATGGATTAAATAACACCAGGTTTCTTACTCTAAATTTCCAGCCAAAGAAACTGAATGGGTAAGAATACAGGCGGAACTTTGGAGAAGTAGACAATCTTGGGGAGCAGATGGGATAAGGACTGTAATATGGGTTTTGAACAGCCAAGTGGCACCAAGTGCCTAGATTCAAAAAGCGGGGGTGTTATCACAGAAATACAGTTGGCAGTGGGATTTGAATATATGAGCAGTTGTTGCTTTTTATTTTTAGGTGACAAAAATCTGTGTTACTAGACCATAATTATATTCAATAAGCAATATTATCAAATAACTCTTAATGTTTATTTCTGTCACTACTTCAAGAGAAGGAAGAAAATCTTACTACTGCTGACTATGTCATAGAAAAATAGGTGACTAGAAGCATCTTTCCAAAAGAGAGTTCTCATATCTGCACACGCAAATTCTTCATAGACAACTCTATACACAACAGTATGCATGTGTATTCACATATGTAATGTCACAAGTACACACAGATCTACATGTGTCAAGTCAGAACCCCATGACTATACATTCACATAGTCACAGTCGAAGGCACGTATTTGCACAAATGTTCGTAGGTCTGTATGCAAGCCCATAACAACATATAATCATAGCTATACACTCTGCACTTACAAAGGCCCTCAAAATTACACAGACACACATGTATACCAACCGAGGCATCAGATAGTGTGTTCAGATTCATAACCTCAGGGATGCAGACACAGATGCCCACACAAACCCATGATGCTTCTAGAGGTTCATGACCATAGACATATTTTCAGATATCCCCAGATGTTTATGCAGAAATGTAGACAAACAAACTTGAATTCCACACAAGCACATATGTGGGCTATATGTGTATATACATACCCACAGGTGCATGAAGTTATTCATCAGCAGACACAGTTAGGGTTTTACTGATACACAAAGACATGAAGATAATTATGCAAAGATTGAAAAAATATTGATCCAGAAGTAGATGTGGGCTGATGTAGTATTAATCATACATATATTGTCAATCTTTTATTCACAGTTACATACATATAGACATAGGGGCATAGTTATTAAATCACATATGCATAAACATGTTTGTGCCAGCACATGTAACACAAAGCACCTAAATATACATGTCTGAAAATATACTCGGGAGCACTCATGCATGTGGGTGAGTATGGAAAGCCACAGAGGTGCAGACATAAATGTAATTTTTGTATATGAAAACATTTGCACTGACTCATAGGCAAAACAGAGATGTATCCATAATTGAACATTTATGTACATATGGGTATATATGTATTGAGAGACATATGATTTGATATAGAAAATGCATTGCATACACAGATTTAGTAGAGATGCCTTCATATAAAGAAGCATATACTTACCTACACCCATAGATACAGATGTGAAAACTTACAGAAGTATTTACACAGGGAAACACATCTGCACTGCTGCATAATTGGATGCACAAGAGGAGAGTGCAGAGTTGCGCTTATGAGAATACACAGACATATATGCATATCCTCACGCCCATATAGACTCACAAAAATATGTACACAGATGCTTGTGCAGATTGAAAATATACCTGTGACTTTTTACATGGGCAGGCATTCCACATAGATGTACATATACATGTGGAGACCAGAATACCCTTGAACAAATGCAGACACACACACATAGGACCATGCCAATCTCCTGAATTGTGCACATAGACATAGAAATGTAGGCACCCATATTGGCAAAGGCCAGCACACTTTCCCAGACACCTGCTTGTGCAAACATCTGTATATAGTCATGCGTAGGCATGCAAAACATGATGAACATACATTATCACAAAGACAAACATGCACAGGAATAAGGACTGACAGATATATGCAAGCATGAAAAAATTTACTACATTTATAACAACATAAACATGAGCACATACACGTGGTTGCAGTTGATTCAGAGAATCATCCAAAGGAATTGATTCATGTGCAGGTAGATTATGCTGCTGCACAGAAAAGCCCTTACAGATATGTGAGGTCACACAGACATATGCACGTGAGCTTATTACTGAACACTGAGGCAGTGAACATCTGACTAGAGAAGCACCTAGATGCAGGTAAAGAGACACAGAGGCAAAAAATCATGGGAACATTGGGGCCAGAGTTATAGTACAGGTAGGGTGCTTGCCTTGCATACTGCTGACTCAGGTTCAATTCCTGGCACCCCATATGGTCTGTCCCCTGCACCCCACCAGGTGTGACCCTGAGTGCAGAGCCAAAAGTAAGTCCTGAGAACCACTGGGTATGACACAAAAACAGCAAAAATTTATAGGTAGAGACACATAGGTATACCCAACATGTATATATAAACACGCAGAGGCTCACACAAATGAATATTCACAAGCAGTAAGGAGAAGGAATAAATATGTAAATATAGACATATATGCTATATTATACATGTGGACTTCTGGATAGACATACATGATACTATAGAAACAAGGCAATAAACTTACATGTCTACATCTAGATATGGAAGATGCTGCCACAGAAGGAAAGGTGTTCATAGCCAGATGGTGGCATGACCAATACTCCCGCCCAGGACAGGCACATGTACTCACTGCTCTATAAGTGAACTTGCTTATACAGGCACATAAGTGTGATTCAGGCGCTAGGTGGACCCACCCAAATTATGCAAGCACAGGATGTTTTGAGCATATAAAGGTAAGAGACTTGCATGTATATCAATGTAGACCTAAGACAGTAGTAATAGATGTAGTCACAGGCACACAGATGCACTGTTGCACAGATATGCATCCTCATATGTTAACATTTACAACATGGCACACACAGATTTACAAGTGTACTCCCCTTCCCATGAGGACACTCAGTCCTTACTTGTCCAGGAACTATATGAATGCAGACATCCGCATAGATTGGCCTAAGTGGATTGGATTCTATTATTAATAGAATGATGTATATGAACAGTAAAGTCTTCTCTGTAAACACATGCAAACAAAATATTTTGATGCTGTTTAAAAAAGACACAAAAACTTTTTTGAAAGAAGCTAGAACTTTTCATGTATCCTTTTCTTTGTTCAAGAAAAGGAAAATTATTGATCTCCTTCAACTAATTATATACAAGCAGACAGGGAAATTACCTCAAAGATTTCTGTGTGTGCAAATGTGTGTAGATGTGCACCCACATGCACATACTTCCACATGCACATAATTACAGACACATAATGGTGTAGAATCACAGAAATATATACATATGATAGCCACTCTGGATAACCTGGCAGGCTACCAAAAGTATCCTGCCCACACGGCAGAGTCTGGCAAACTCCCCATGGCTTATTCAATATGCCAAAAACCAGTAACAATGATGGGTCTCATTCTCCTGACCCTGAAAGAGCCTCGAATGTGGTACTTTCTAAAATCTCAGGGCTAGGACGAAGGAGACATTACTGGTGCCTGCTTGAGGAAATCGAACAACAGGATGACAGTGATACAGTGAGTGATAGCCACATGCAGAAAGATATGTAGAGTCGTGTGTGTGTGCACATAGACACACAGAAACCATGGAAATATCACTCAGTATTAAAATTTAAGCATGGCTATTGAATTTGAAACACTCAAATCAAATTTGTCTTTGCATGCCAGCTCCAGCACTTACTAGCTTTATGCCTTTGGGTTATTGTTTTGCTTTTCCACCTGTAACATGAGGGGAATATTGGTACCTAGGCCTGGAAGCTGTTTGAAGATTTGATGGAAGAAGAAAGAAGGGTTTCGCCTAGTCCTTGGAATTGATGCTGCTGCTGTTAGAGCTGTTTTTTCTAAATTTGGGTTGGATTTGGGTTTTATAGACAATCTGGTTGATGATCATGGAGATGTGATCATCAGCCCTTTTTCCTTATATTTTTCCTTAAAGAACTGTGGCCTACAGAGCTGGAGCGATAGTACAGCGGGTAGGGACTTTCACACGGCTGACCCGGGTTTGATTCCCAGCATCTCATATGGTCCCCTGAGCACTGCCAGGAGTAATTCCTGAGTGCAAAGCCAGGAGTAACCCCTGTGCATTGCCAGGTTTGACCGAAAATGGAAAAAAAAAGAACTGTGGCTTACAAAGTTATTGGTAGTGAGTTTTAGGCATATAATATTTTAACATCAATCCCAACACCAGTGTCATCTTCCCTCCACCTTTGCTCCCATATACTCTCCCCATCCCTAACCCACCCCATCCTCATCTGTCAACTCGACAGGCACATTAAAGTTTCAGTGGTTGCAGCTTAGACCTCATGTTTTCAGTATTGTTGATTGTATTCTGGAAGTATGGCTATACCACTCACCCAGATCACCAGTAGTTTTATTTGAAAATGAAATTTATAAATTTAAATAATGTTCATAGATAAGGCTATTCCTGAAAATTTCCGAGGTGATAAGGGATTATTATTAACCCGCTGGAAAATGGCAAGACATACAGCCAATATTTTTTTGTGACTGTGATTGATGGTGGAGGTCTCAGTGTTTTTTTTCTTCTCTTTTTCTTTTTAATTGAATAGCCACGAGATACACCGTTACAAAACTGTTCATTATCAGGTTTCAGTCTTATAATGTTCCAACACCCATTCCTCCATCGGTGTACATTTCTCACCACCAGTGTCCCCAATTTCCCTCCCACCACCCTCCACCCCCACCCCAGCCTGTCTTTATGGCTGGCACTTACTTTTCTCTCTCTCTCTCTCTCTCTCTCTTCTTCCTTGTGGGCATTATGGTTTGCAACACAGATATTGAGAGGTTACGGTCTCAGTTGAACAATCATTTTCTTTTGCAGAAGGAGATGGAAGGTGGGGAAAGTGGAGCACAGCGACTGAAGGCTTCGTGTTCACTGAACCTGACCCTGTGGAGTAAGTACTAGATTTGCGGATTTCTCGGTCATTAAAATTCTACCCACTGCAAGACTGTGCAATTGCTTTGGGGGATAGATAAGCTAGTGTATCCTAAGTTGTAGTGGTTTCTGCTACATCTATAAAATAGAAGAAACGCTCCAACTGTTCCAGATTTTCTTTCTTCTACTTGGTTTTCCTCCAGGCTCTACTGAAACTGTTTTCCAGAGCAATGGTCTTCCAACTTTCTAATTTATAATTACCTAAAATCATTTTGAAAACTTGGTACTCCATCAAGCAGCGTGAAGTTAGCTTTGTTATAAGGCTAATGTTCATAGAGTTATTACTTATGGTATAAGATATTTATAATTTTAATAACTGATTTTATTTTTGCATGCAATTAGCTAAACTGACTATAGCAACTTGATACTTACTTTAATTTAAATTTTAACAAATAAAGAAAATAATTTGGACAATTGGACAATCAGGAAATTTACATCATCTGAGAGAGACACAGTCCAGTGGGTAGGGTGTTTTTGCCTTGTAGGTAGCCAACCCAGTTTCCATCCCTGGAACTCCATATGGTCCCCTGAGCACTGCCAGGAGTGATGCCTGAACACAGAACTAGTAGTAATCCTTGATCACCACCATATATGGCACCAAGACAAAACAAAAGCAAAAATGAAAATTAGCATCATTTTTCTTTCTTAACATTCTATTCACCTTTCCTCACATAATTTTTCCTAATACATATATTTTTATTTTTATAGACCTTGTATTGGTCGACCTATCATGCATTTCTTAAATATACATATGTAGAAATAAATATTTTTATATCACAAGCCCCAAGTATTAAATTCCTATAAAATAATTAGTAATATATACTTTATCAGTATATAGTTATAAAAATCACACATTTTGATTAGTAATTATGAACTGAGTGGTATTTGGTTGGAAATACAGCCCCCAAGTGAGTATGATTGGATTGATCTCATAAATAAGTAGAAAAGGATGGAAGGATTTCTAAGGGTCAAAATTCACACATAAATGTTTTGGACATATTTTAAAATGTTTTTATATTAAAAATAGTTTTGATGACATTTCAATGGAAAAAAATAATATTAAACAGATAGTTTATTAGACCATCTTTAATTCTATGAAAGCAAAAACCTAATTTACAAAATTATTTGTTGCTGAATAATTTATTTCTGAATTTCCAGGAAGTTTACCAAAATACCCTTAGATTTAACAGCAGACAACTATATGTTTCATACTTTATTCTGAGGTATTATTTTCTCTAGAATGGTAAATTCAGATATTTAGGTAAATATGTGTTTTCCAGTACTAAATAAATAATAAAAAAAATCCAGTACTTTAATAATTAAGAAAATGGCCAACCTTTAAAAAGAAAAATTTAAGCCTATATATTTGTATAATTTAATGAAGACATTTAGAATATCATTTAGTGGACAAAGAATGTTCATATGAAAATAATCAGTCAATGCGGAAGTGCTTTTCGCAAACCTGTCCAACTTCATTTTCCAATGGAATAATGGGCACGTGCTCTCAGGATCATCATTCAAATAACAGAAAATCATTTATGGGACACCCCTGCTTAAATCATTGACTCCCAAAGTACCTGGAAGATGAAAATGGTATTTTCATTCACTTCAAGATGAATTTAGGAGTGATACAATAATTTTTTCTTATGTGTGGTGGTTGCGGTTGGGTGCTCCCAAATGGTGCTCCGGGGTCCTGGAGGCCACACCCTCAGTGATACTTGGCTCAGGCCTGAAAATGAGGTTCTGCTCAGGCCCTTCAGTGTTGGGGACCCCTGCTTGAGGGGGCTCCAAAGTCATATCTGGGGGCCTGGGAGGCTTCCATGGACATCCCTACCTGCAGTCGGGAGTCATTAGTTGCCGGGAATCGAGCACGTATACCATTTCCCCAGATCCTCTCCATGTCATTTTATTTCTTATTTTATTTCATTAATTTATTTTTTACCGACTCGCCATGAGATACAGTTACTAAGCTTTCATGATCAAGTTTCAGTCATACAATGATGGAACACCCATCCCTCCACCAGTGCACATTTCCACCACTGATGTCCCCAGTATCCCTTCTACCACCTCCACCTCTTCCCACCCCCTGCCTCTGTGGCAGGCACCTTCCTTCTTACTCTCTACTTTTGGGCATCATCATATGTCATTTTAAACAATATCATGTGACCTGACAATGCAATTCGTGAATCTGATGGCTGGCATAGTGTCTTTAAAAAGATGTTTTTTTGCTTTTTGGGTCACACCCGGCTATGCTCAGGACTTACTTTTGGCTCTGTGCTCAGGGATCACGCTTGGCGGTGCTCGGAGGATTGTGTATGGTGCTGGGGGTCGAACCCGGGTCTGCTGTGTGCAAGCATAGTGCCCTGCCTGCTGTAATATCTCTCTGGGCCCCAACATGCTTTTGTCTTTATGACTCTCAGATTGGTTTTTTGGAAGTGACTAAAAATGATGCATAAAATAGTTTAAAACAACACTAATTTTATTAGATTTTAGAATCAAATTTTAATTCTTTTTCCATTTAATCACAGTGATAAACACATTTACAAAATTGTGCATGACTGGCTTTCAATCATATTATGTTCCAACACTCAGCCCTTCACCAGTGTATTTTTCATACCACCAAAGGTTCCAGTTTCCCTCTCTCTATCCCTCATCCCACTGGCTGCCACTATGGAAGACACTCTCTCTCTCTCTCTCTCTCTCTCTCTCTCTCTCTCTCTCCTTTGGGCCTTATGGTTTGCAATACAGATAATGAAAGGTTATGAGATATATCCTTTTCCCTGTGCCCTTCACCACACCACACTCTTGAGGCAAGCTTACAACCATTGACATATCCTCCTGGCCCCTATTTATCCTAACCTTGGATATTAGTTTCATATACATACACACACATATATGTAAATAATATAACACAAATGAATGCAGTCATACATGTTCTCCTTCTGACTCATTTCACTCAACATGATACTCTCCATGTCAATCCATTTATAAGCAAAATTTTAACTACTTTTTATCTTAGATGCTACATAGCCATGCAAAGCCTGGCACGCTACCCGTGATGTATTCAAGCAAATTGATGAACTACAGGAGGATAGTGCTACAGTACTACAGTGCTACTATATAGCCATATATATGTGCATATATGTGGCTAAAAATAATGGTCTTAGCATCCATCTTATTTTATTTTTGATGATAGGAAGTAGAAACAGTACATAATATTTCAGAGGTTTTCATGTAATTATTTTTTATGAAAACCATGAAAGAAAAATATAATTCTAAGAAAATGATGACGTAAGGTTTCATAGAAATTTAATTTTTAACTTAGTTAAAAATATCTTTTTGGCTCATTTAGACATGGATTTTATCATATCCTGTGAGACTATGGTTTTCATTGCCAAGTTTGAGTGCCAAGTTTGTGTGCACAGGCAATGAAAACCCTCTCCAAGTGCCTCCTTTTGATAGTGATTGTAGATTGTCACTAATTGTAAGGTATATTCTTATTCCAGAAATATGAAACTATGAAGATATTATGCTTCTAGAAGCAGATAAATACGGTAAGTCAAGATATTAGGATCATGAAAGGCCTGGTGGAAAAACACCCTTTCCATGTTTAATGTAGTATTTTTACACAAAAGAAAATAATAGCTCTCCCACATATCTAATTTTGCATTTAACTAACTTAAGTAGCATCACCTTATACATTCCACTTTAATTGTTTTATTGTTTTCTTAGCATTCTTTGGCTTCCTGGCTTGGAAAGCTAGAGAGCTAGAGAAGAATAGTGAGGGATAGTACTAGAGCTAGGGTTAGACCAGCTGGCTGCAGAATAAAAATGTCTGGTATCTTTGTTGTCAAAACCACTTAGCAGAGTCGTGTATTAGAGTGTGCTTTCAATGGTACCATTTGTTCTGTTTAAGTGGGCTAAAAGAGGAAGTGTTTCTTCTTCTGATGGCTGAATTTTATTTTGATATTTGATATATAGTCCAAGTACCACTTTTGACTGAAGGGCATAAGTATAGGAGAAATGGTGATTGAGATGCTTTCCTCATTTTCCTTTCATATAGTTATCAGGGGGGGGGGTCAGCGAGATGGATTTGATTTTCGTAGAAAGTATACTATCTCAGGAATTCATGAAATGAAAAATAGCTATGTTATTCTGGAAGTAGGGCACAACTGATTTGAATGATACTCTTGATGGTTGATGTTCTTTACATGGGATACCCAAACCAAAACTTTTCATGAAATGAGAAAATGAATGAACCAGTAACATGTTTTCTTTGGAGTTTCTACAGTTGAACATGATACTAAGTCTTATTGTATGTCATGGGGAAGCAAAACAGGAAGGGATTCATAACGGTGGATAGTTCAGGCTCATCGGGCCTTGTGCTTTGACCGTTGTGCTTAGTCTAATATTCTGCTGCTAGGGTCTGTAAATGATTCATGATTTTGAAAAAGAAATCAAGCATGTTCTAATGAAAAGAAGAATCTTGCCACTGTAATTAATTGGTGTTGCAAAATTTAATGAGAAGCTTCGGTTTTCCACTGTGCATTTAATTCTTCTGTTTGTAATCATAAATAGAATTTATAGGCTACTATCAGGACTATTGTTCCACATAATAACTATAGAAGCAGAAATAGTGGTAGGAGTAATTTTTTCCATTTTTGGGTCACACTGGGTGGTGCTCAGGGCTTACTACTGACCCTGTGCTCAGAGGAGACTCCTCACAGGCTTGTTGGACCAAATGTGATGCCGGAAATTGAACCTGGGTCAGCAAGCATCCTACCCACTGTGTTGTCACTCCAGCCAAAAGGGTAGGAGTATACCATCCAACACTACTTTGTATAGTTCCTCAATTTATTCCTATGAGCCGGGTTATCTCTGGCACCTCTCTTTTATAAAAGATAGCAGTACCATTATTTCTACTGGCCTTAACTCTAGGTAAGAGTAGAATGAGATGTAAATTCTCACTTGTGATCTGGAAAGGACAAAAGAGATGTGTTTTTTGTTGGTTTTTGTGCCACACCCAGTTGTGCTTAGAGATTACTCCTCTCTCTGCACCAAGGAATCACTCCTGATGGATTTGAGGACCATATAGGGTGCCAGGGACTGAACCCTGGTCAGCTACATGCAAGACAAATGCCCTACCTGCTTTACTATATGGGCTCCTGCCCCAAGAATAAAAGAAATAAAAATGATCTATTGACCTTATAATATAGAATCTGGGTGACAGCAACCTGCCTGGGGACCCAGGGTTCTGAGTTAAGCTCAACAGCGAGACTGCTCTGGTTCATGACTATAGAACAGGAGTGGTAGGGAACCCTCACAGTGGAAATCAGTACCCTGAAGTTTTGAGATGTCAAACAGGGCATTATGCTGCTCTTTTTAAAAAAGGCTGGGTCAAGGCACCTGGATGAAATAGCGGACAGGGATATAGGTTAGGATGCAGAGGAAGCACAACTCAGAAAGATGTCCTCGAGCTGGAGAGAGAGAATACAACAGGCAGGGCACCTGCCTTGCATGGGGCAGGACCAGTTTTGACCCCAGAACCCGATATGGTCCCATGAGTCATGCCAGTTGTGATCCCTGAGTGCAGAACCCGGAGTGAGTCGAGAGCACATTTGGGTGCAACTCGAACACCCATCCCCCTGAAAAAGATCCCCCAAACATCCTTCTCTAGGTACCTGGGGTGTAGTCAAAAGTGCTGAAAAAGAGTAGTAAAAAGAGCCTGAAGTCAGCAGCTCTATATCTAGCTGCCGAGAGAAAGGTGGAAGGTGCCAGTCCCACTGCCCCAGACTGCCAGAGAAGTTTTCTGACTATCAAAGACGCAACTATATTCGGGGTTGGCCTTGATCTGAAGACAAATAAGAGCAGAAGTTTGTGTCTCCACACATGAGGACCTCATTTTCCTGGTTGTGGAGGGGGTAAAAAATAATGCGATGGATACCACTAGAAAACAGGGACTATCACATGGGTTTCAGGTACTAGACTGTCAGTGGCCTCTGTCAGGTCCTTAGGTCCTATAAGCAACTGCAAATGGTTTGCCATAATGTAATGAAGAGAGTTGAAAGTAGTATTTCAATGAGGCCACAGAAAATGCCACTGGGAATATCTTGGCAATGACCTCTCTCACCAGTGGGAGAGGCAACCTATTTTACCTTAGAGACCCATGAGGACTTTCCTGTTGGTGACAGAAGGGTTAGAATTCATTTCTCTATTGAGAAAAAGTTGGTTCACAAAAGTGTAAATGTTTATTTTTATGAACATTATTTTGGGTAACCTCTTGGGGATGCCAACCTGTGATTTTTGGCCAACCAGGACAGCAATTTGATGCAACAACCCCCAAAGATGCTGTGACTCTGCTCGGGCCCTTCAGTGCAGGGGATTACACAGGACAAACCCTACCATGCTTAGGGACCTCCAAGCACTCCAAGCACTTCCTCCTGACAGTTCTGGAAGCCTCCAAGTCTGCATCTGGTGTTGCTCAGGAGATGACATGGTGCTGGGAATGAAATGGGGTCAGCATGCTAAGCCCATGCCCTAATCCCTGAACTTTCTCCTCATCCCAAGAATGTAAATGTTTATGCATGCTGTTCACTCATGGGCATTCTGGAGAAGGCTGTTTGTTGCCTGACTGCAATGATATAGCCCGTGAATCTTAAATGGGAAATCAGAGGGTTACTGTGTTATGTGAGAATGTAGATGGTGAGATGACTGTGATGGATTTGCATTAAGTTCATTATGTTCAGGGTTTTTTACTTCTAAACCTCCTGAATTTGTGACTGATGTCCAGCTGTCAGCCAGGAAGCAGATTTAGTCAACCAAGGGTAAGGTGCCAGCATCCTTCCTGTGATTGATTCAGTACAGAGACTAGCTGCCCAGAAAGTTGTTGGTTTGGTAAAAACATTCGATTCATGTAGTAGTTGATATTGGGATTAAGTTCTTGTCACCTATCATCAGAGACTCAGAGGCAGAGGTGAATTGGGTATCCTTAGAGCCCAGAGTTGATCAGAGGCAAAAAAAAAAGCAAGCAGTACAGCAGAAAGTTTCCGCGTAGTAGCAGGAGGGGTCTTCCAATGGAATTCCAGAGCAGAGTGGTTTATTCTCTCTTGCAGCGCTTCTCGAATAAGTTGGACAAGTCTTTCTGTCTTTTAACAAAATTCTTCTTTCATTCATGTACACGTGGCTGGTTTAGCTTCAGAGTCATTCTGCTTGTTAGGCAAACGGTGCCTCTCTGCAGCTGTCTGAGGGTCACGCTCTGACCTCTAGTAGAGCCGGATGGCTAACATCTGTGCCCTCATTCCGCACCTTGTAACATCCAGTTCTCAGGACCCTTGCTCTCTGGTTAACCCTTTGTTAACCCCATCCTCAAATAATCTAATTGCCGTGAGTCCTAGGAGAGACATGTGATCGAACATTAGACCTGCCAAAATGAACCAGTTTGCCAATGGACGGGATAAAGTTTGAAGAGACGTTAGTGTCCTTCCATGGCTGGCTGGCTGAATGACTTGCTGCGAGCTGGAATTTCAGAGGAAACAGATTAGTTCTGTATTTGATGCAGAGCCTTAAGGACTTCCTAAAGAGATTAAATCAAAACCTTATTACAATCTAGTAAAGCTTTATTAATGTAGCAGACATTTTTGCTTTTTAGGTCTTTCATTTAAACGTGTGTTTGTGAATATTATTAAACCTGGGGGGGGGGAGGATTAAAGACTTCAAATCCCCTTTTCTGCCAAGCCCTATTACTCAGTTCTCAGCAGGAGAGTAGAAAGTTCTCTGCATATGTTCCGCCAGCACACTCATCATTTCACTGGGGCTTAAGAAATCAAAGGGGGAACTGGAACTGCACTGGGAGAGGAGCTCTGCCAAGGGAAAAGAGATGCTTATATTTTTTCCTTCATCTTGCTGTATTATTCTCTCAGCCCTCTCCCTGGGTCTCTATTTTAGATAGAGAGACTTGTACTTAGCCCCAAAGGGGCACTGTGGCTCCATCTCTTTCATAAGTTTGCAGGAACTGTGCAATCTCCTTTTATGGGCTCCTCTAAGTTATTTTTGAAAAGTGTATTCTCTTATTGACTTATTCAACAAATAAATATCAATTACCCACTATCAGTCAGGTACTCTTTTACATGTGTAGTGGTTGAGAAAAAATGACAGTTTTCTGCTTTTTTAAACCTTACATTTTCTTGGTGCAAATGAGGACATTAATACTTCTTTTTCCTTTTTTTGGGGTCATACCCAGTGATGCTTAGGGGTTACTCCTGGCTCTGCACTCAAGAATTACTCCTGGCGGTGCTTGGGGGATCATATGGGATGCTGAGGATTGAGCCCAGGTTGGCCATGTGCAAGGCAAATGCCCTACCTGCTTTACTATATCACTCTGGCCCCATAATACTTTTTTTTTTTTAAGAAACAGAAAATTCTAGAGAGTGGTAACACAGATGAAGACAAAAGGCAGGGAATACAATAAAAACGTCAGGGGAAGATATGTGAGCAGAGAATTTCAAAATAAGAAAAGCCCAAGTCTTCTCTCCATTATTTAAATAACTTTTTGACT